AGGTAGAATTGTGGCATTTTGTTTGCTAAAAAATTTAACTCAGGATCGTTATGAAATCATTGAATTTTAATCTTTTTTTTTTTTTTATTCCAGACTCAAAAGTTTTGATAATTAATATAATGTCTTATAAATCTTTTTATTTATTTTTAATTTTTGCGTTGAAATACATATTCTTTGGAGTTGAATCATATATTCCCGTAGGACGTATAGGTCATTCCTCTATACTTATTGGAAATAAGACTGTCTCTTATACACATCTAGATGTGTATAAGAGACAGACTTTATATTTTTTAATTTTTTGGGATCAATTACTAAATTCGTGAATCGTGATATTGTTTTTTTTTTTTCAATTACTATATTTGTGATTTTTTCTTTGATGATTTTCAAAACTCAATTAACCCATATATCAATACATTCAATCCAATATAAGAATATTCTTTTTTAAATTGTATTTATTATTAATCAAAACTTCTTGTTTTCCTAAATAATCTTTATAAAACCTTTGAAGCTAAAAAATCGTGTCACCTTTAATTAATTCTTTTTTTGATTGATTCTCATTGATTTTCTTTAATGATTTCTAAATTTTGTTAAATGTAAGGATGTAAGGTTCCACCTTTGAATCCACCCTTGACAATATGACTACATGATTGTAGATTATTATGATTTATGATTCCAGAATATGAATCCCAGTAAAGGTAGTCCCCAGTTAAAGTTTCCAAATGTAAATTATTATAATTTCGAATGTAACCCATTAAGTTCAAATGTAACCCAGTAAGTAAAAGTCCCAAATTGTAATCCAAGCAAAAATCCAAATGTAAATTATTATAATCCTAGTAAAAGTCCGAATGTAATCCCAGCAAAAGTCCCAAATATAATCCCAGCAAAAAGTCCCAAATGTAATCCCAGCAAAAAGTCCCAAATGTAATCCCAGCAAAAAAGTCCCTAAATGTAATGGTTCCATAAATTCCATAAATTCTATAATTCTAATTTTCCCTTACATTTCCTTACATTTCCTACTAATCATAATAAGACGCCTACATTTTTTTTAAATAAATCCTAATTTGGTATGCCTATTAATTCTAATCCAAATTAAGTGTCTCTCTCAACCTTACGATTTATTCATATTCCTGTAACGGATAAGGGCCTCTTACTCATGAATTGATTTTAAAATGGAAATAAAAAATATAATGTTTGTATGTTGTTTAAAATAAGAAATGAGGTGATTAATCTAAAAATTTTAACGCTTAATCTTTTTTTGTTATTATGCGCAGTAAAAAAAAAGGAGTAAAAAAAACTATAATTTTTTTTTTTACAATATATTCATTCAATATATTAATTAATTTATTAATTTTTACAAATATTTTCAATTGTTGTATTTCACAGGTATTTCACAATTAATTCACGGTAAAAAAAAAAAAAAAAATACTGTAATTCTTCCACAAAAAAAATTTTAAAATGAAATTCTAAAAAGTAATAAAAAAAAGGCTTTGTTCAAATTAGTTAACGATGGCTTTGTTCAAAAAAGTTAACGATTGAATACATGTTAGGTACACACTGACTTACATGCACTACATTTTATTACATACACATTAAACGAACATTGTGAACAGGAAAATTTTTAATTTAATATATGATCTACCATGCCATTTCATCTATCTGACTATCTTTGTCTGCATAAAGAACGTAAAAAGTTCTCATCTCCGCGAACATGAAACTTGAGATGGTGTCATAATTATATTTTTAGTGATGTCGCAAAAAGTAGTGAAACATTCTAATGCGGATTTTTAATATCATCTGATTTCTAATTGCATATGGAATTATCAAGAACTTTTTTTCTTTTTTTTTTTTNTTTTTTTTTTTTTTTTTTTTTTTTTTGATATTTATACTTTTACAATTTTGATTACCCTGAATGAATATTAACTTTACTGTTTATATTATTATTATAGCATTAATATTACCTATAACTGTATATTATTGTATATTACGGTAAACTTTATATTTGATGAACTAAAACTAAAATTTTTTGATTCAAATGTACGTTGAAAATACAAAATCAATTAAATGAATTCTTTTTTGGTCTCTTTATTTCTCTTTTTTTTATCTATAATACATTTTTTTTTTTTTTTGTGTAATTCCGGGTAACAAATATCTATAAATAATTTTTAGATTAATTTGATTAATTTTTTTAGATTAATTTTTTAGATTAATTTTTAGATTAATTTTTAGATTAATTTTTAGATTAGTTTTTAGATTAGTTTTAGATTTAAAATAACATGACCTTGCGAATCAATAATATGCGGCAATTGAGCAATTAAAATATCTCCTCATAAACAATAACTAGTTTATTTCCCGAAATTTCATGATTTCATAATTTATGATGATTCAGGAAATTCTAAGCTCGCCAAACTCGGCCAAACTCGGTCAAACCCGGTCAAACCCGGTCAAACTCGGTCAAACCCAAACTCGATCAAACTCGGTCAAACTCGATCAAAATTCGGTGATCAAACTCGTTAAAAAACTCGGTGGTTAAAGTAAAATCCAATCAAACTTCAGTTTCTACATATCATTATTTCCAATACTCCACCATATAAATTCCTTTCCAGCGGCCATCCAAATACCTTCGCCTCTTTCATCCAATTCAGGATTTAATCCTACCGAATCCCATGTACAAAATCTTAACGCAGATACTTTATCTTTAAATGGTCCAATTGGATATCTTATAGCTCTTCCGGTATTTATGGAAAAAAATCTAACTTTATTATCCTGGCCAGCTATTTTTAATAAATAAATAAATAAGATTTAATTAAGATGACAAAAATAATTCAACGCGCTTAGAAAAAGATGTACCTATTGCTACAATGTCTTCTTTTAAATTAACATCGAATCCATATTGAATATTGGTTGAATTAACATTTCCTTTAAATTCTAAAACCGGTTCGTAAACATAAGTTTTATCAAAATTCCTTCTTTCATTTCGAACATCCCATAAAGAAAGCTACGTTAAAATATATTTATATATAAAGTATTGTATATGTCATATAAATAATAAAATTTTAAATTTTCAAATATCAATTTCAATAAATAAAATAAATACGTACGGATCCATCCATTCCATCTGATAAAATATACCATGCACCAATCTGTCTTATATGACAAATTGGAGATTGTTGACTTATCGGTGGACCAATTCCATAATGTGAATTGGAACAATCAGAACGAATATCATATATACGTAACTTCCCGTCTCTACAACCTGCAAAAACTATGTCGGGCTTTATAGGAAATTGAAAAATTAGTTTGGTATCTTTTAAATTATAAATAATTACGTAAATCTGGCCAAAATTATCTTATTATCTTATTATCAATTATAAAAAGCTTGTCCGCTTGCCTGATATCGATCAAAATCCAACGCGAAAACATCACTGTTTGTCTTAAAGTTATTAACACAAGGATACTCTTCCCATCCTTGAATAACAGATAATTTTCGTGATGACCCTAGTATATTTTTTGGAAAAAAAAAAATTTTAACATTCTTAATTCTTTTATAATCAAAATGATTAATTATATATTCACCTAATGCTATCGAAGAATCTATTTCGGAAAACGAACTAGTCCAAATTGTTGAACCACTCCGATATGTATATCTTACATCTAGTGCTTATGAGGATATTTATAAAGAGTAATTGAGTAATTAGTGATTAGAGGTATTTAATTATCCTGATAGGGGTGGAAAAAGTTCGGGTTGAGCGATTTGAGTCGGTTCGTTCCATTCGGTTTGGTACATCGTTCCAAATCGATTTTGATAAATTTTGATACATAATACTCGGTTTTCGATTTGACTCTGCTCAACTCGGTTTTCAATATTATCGGTTCGGAACCGAGCGAGTCTTCCCCATCCCTGATTATCCATCATGTAAATATTGAGTGAGGAAAGGACCTACCCGTGTCACGATAAGGTCCCGAAGGTAATTTTAATATATACATATTACCCGAGGCAACCGTATCACCCAGTGTAGTAGCCCTACATAATTTTTTCAAGGGGGAAAATTATTACGTAAGTAATTTTAAAAAATTCTAATTTCTTTAATTTCTTTCCTTTTTATTTTCTTTCTTTTTTTATTTCATCATAATTAACCAAATGAAATTGCATAATATTACATTAATAGATCAGTACGATCCAAGCGCACCGATGATATCTATAAAACAATTATTGGATTAATTTCTTCATTAATGATTTTTTCAAGTCCTTACAGAATATTATCTTTGATCATGCGATGAGTCATTTAAGACTATTCATCATTACTTAACATTATTCTTAAAAATATATAAAAGTTAATTTACAATACCTCCGAGGTTAATTTAGCCATTTGATCATTATAAATCTCCATACACGAACTGGAAGTACATTTAATCTTCATTTGGCTATTTAAAATATAATTATTATAATCAGATTAAACTTTTGCAATATAAATAAATTCGAGGATAACTGCAAAAAAAAAAACAAAATAAATCATTGTCCAAAGACAATCATGAAGTGCACACATGTTTACGAACCTTATGTTGCCAAATGAATCACCATATAATATCTTGTTAAAATATGGATGAATCTTTAAATTAATTAATAATAAATCATTAAAAGATCTTATAAATATAAAACAGGACGTAGCGTCGGCGTTTATGTTTCCCTTTCCCAATCAATTATCGGTTTATCATCTCTCACTAAATCTCGCCTCTAATATCGCTTTTTTCATACAACAAGTAATTATTCGTATACCTGAAAATCTTTTATAGGTGTACGTTCTATCGCGGTTGGTATAATTGAACCAACTTGGCGTAATGATTTTATTAAAATTTGTCGGTTTTCACTAAAAAAAGATCAACATCTTATTATGAATAAGAAGGATTCACAAGATTTTATCTTTAATCGATCCTTACCTTTTGAATGTATAAATAGGCTTGTTAAAATTTATTTCTCGATCTAAAAGAAGCGATATTCCATTGGGAATTTGGTTAGGTATTACAAGTTCTCTTGCTTTCTTTAAATAAAAAAGACGCAATATAAATAATTGTTTCTTAATAATTAATTGTAATTAAATAAATTAAATATGATTTTACCTCCTCGACTCTTTTCGTAATCGAATCGGCACTAAAAGGATTACTTGACCCGACTGCCTTATTTGGCATTATCTTAAAATATCTATTTTTTTCATGATCATAATAATATCCGGGAATTTCTTTTGGAGTTTCATCAGATATAGCTACTGATAAAGAACTAGAAGAATCGATTGAACTAGATTGAGACTGAGGACGCGTTATATTATTAGTTCTTCGATTGTTTAATCTACTTTGTTGATAATGGCTTGATCGGTGATGAAACTTTTTACGAGTCATTATTTTCTAAAAATACATTTTTTGTGTTTAATTATATAATATAAATTATTCGCATTAATATTTAAACTGAAGTAAACCATTTATTTATATATAGTAAAATATTTATTATTACATAAATTGTATTGGATAATGTATATAAATGAATACGATTTTGTTTTTATAGGTTGAACTTTGTTGAAATGGTTAAAAAGGCTTAGTATGAAAAAATTTTCCCATAATATAAATAACCATAAACAAGAATACTTTTCTAAAAAAAAGATAATGGCTTTTCTTTGTTGATTATCACAAAATTGTTATTAAAACAAAATAAGATAACCTGATGTATGTTGGATGTATGTTGAAAAAAAGGAGTTTGAGAAGATCGTTTAGGAAAAAAAATCGAACTATTTCAATTTCTAAAACCTTGATTAAAATTACGCAAGCTGGTCGATTATTCCTAAAATAGTAATTATAAAAAGCCTCGGCGTTTTCTAAATTTCCGGGCTAACCAAAAAGTTCAAATACCCGGTTACAACATTCCCGAAATCTTGAATTTTAATCAAAGATACCCGTGAATTTGATGCATCATCAGCATCAACAAGCCATTTACAGTCTGCTTAATGGAGGCTCATCCCACAGATTGACAATGAGTATAAATAAAACGAATAGAATCGAGAAAAGTGTAAAACATAAAATAAAATTTTCTTTTCTTTTTATTTCTGGTATTTAAGTGAAAAGATATTTTTATTTATTTTATTTGTTAATAATAATTTAAAAAATGAGCGATAGAAACGGTCATGATGATGATGTATGAATTTTATTTGTTTATCGAGTTAATTTTGTGCTGCGGTTATAATAATGCTTATGTATTTATAAATGTAGATAGAAATTGAACAACCCTTAGAACGCAAACATACAGTGTTCAAGAAACGTCATTTATTGCATCCAAAATCATGGAGAGAATTCACTTGGAACATATTAAAGAAAGGGAAAATGACCAACTTTTTGCTTATTTTCTTGATTCCGGCGATAGTTCTACCGCGAATGCATCTCGAAGAACGTTTCCATGATGTGTTTTATCTCAATTTTATCTTCAATTTTTTGGCCATAATTCCTTTGTCTAATATAATGACAATTGGTGTGGAAGATTTATCCGCATTCTTAGGACCGGTAAATTTTAAAAATAAGAAATTTAAAAATTGATTTAATTGATTTAATATAACGAAAATGTTAAAATAGAAATATCAAGCGGTCCTTCATGCATTATCAGGAAACTTTGTTGAACTTGTTATTGAATCATATGCGTTAATGGATGGTCGATATGCGATTGTACGATCAGCTGTATTAGGATCAATTCTCTGTAATATTACTCTGGTATATTAGAAAAAGATAAAATAATGCTAGTTACTTGTCGTTTTTTACTCGTTCTTTTCAATAATTATTCATTATTTGTTAGGTCCTAGGTATAACTTTCGTTGTGGGCTCTTGGCCTACGGCTCGTCGTAGAGATGGTAAACCCGCTCTTCATACTGAATTCGAAATTGGAACATTCGTCGACACATCATCTTCCATTTTAGCTTTAGCCTTTCTTGCATTAATGATTCCGGCAGCGTTTAAAATAGCTGCAGTACCTGTTGATACAACAGATCATCGTTTAGTTGACTGTAATTTACAAAACATTAGTCATGCTACAGCTATTATACTTATGTTGGTTTTTATAGGACTATTAGTTTTTCAATTGAAAACTCATGCTCATGAGGTAAGTGAAAAAAAAATGATTTTAAAAACATAAAAATATTTAATTTAAGATAGGACCTATTTTTTAGATAGTAGACGTTAAAGAATTTGATCACCATAAAATTTATAATTGGTTATTTGATATAATCTTGTAAGTGTAAATAATAATTTGTTTATTTTTTTTAAAAAAAAAATTGCAATTCGGATCTCACTTTTTTTTTTAAAAAAAAAAGGATTGCAGGATCGGTAGCCGGAATTACAATATGTGCAAGAACTTTGGTTTCAAGTATTGAAGAATTAGGAGATAAATTTGAACTTGGTACTGGATTCATTGGGATAGTCCTTCTACCTCTTTGTGGTACGTGTAAATACGCAAATTTTAAAATTTTCTTAAAAATATTTTAATCTTATATATTTAATTTTTTTTATTAGTTGTATCGAGTTTTATTGAACATTATCAAGCTATCGCGGAAGCAGCTAGAGATAAAGTAGATACAGCTATCAGCGTTATTCTTAATACGTCTGTGGTGAGTAAATTTTTTTTTTTCAAATCTTTTGAAAAACAGATTTCTAAATTATATATTCACGCTATTTATATTTTCAAAAGCAAATGGCATTATTAATCGCACCAATATTGGTATCGGTTGGATGGATTTATGGTAAACCATTAACATTGGATTTTAATATATTGGAAATATCTGTATTGGGTTGTGCTATATTGATTGTAAATTATCTGGTCGCTGTATGTATAATAATTTTTCATTCTATAAACATTTTTTTTTTAAAAAAAAAATTTATTAATTATTCATTTTATTAATAGGACAATAAAGTACATTGGTTAGAAGGTTATATGCTAATTGTAAGTATTATCAATACAAATTTTATAATCATTTGTTTTTTTTTTTCGTAAAATCTTAGTAATTAATATGTAAATAAATACCTTTTAGGTATCGTATGTATTGATAGCCATAGCATTCTTCTATCTTCCAAATCTTCATGATGAACATCCACCCATCCTTGATTGTAATCCTTGGAGTAGAAATTTAAACAAAACTAAAGTTGAAGGAATTGCAGAAACTGGTGGTGCGGAAGGGTAACTTGGAAAGTGTATATATGAGATACAGTAAATATGTATATACAGTAAATGGAACATAATGTAATTTTTTCACTATAAGTTAGATAGTTAATGTTGAAAAAATATTAATTATAATAAAAAAAAATATACTTTTTTTTCTGTTTTTAGATTAATAATAGTACGTTATGTACAGTATTTATTTACTATTAGCGTGATAAATGAATAATTGAATAGCGCAAAAAATAAAACAAGTGTAAAATATTTTATTCAAGTTATCAGTATTAGGTATCTCGTTACGTTTAAAGTTAATGATTACTTTTATTTAATTATTTAATTTTAAAAATTTATAATTCTATACAGGTTTAAAAAAATATCTATACAATAAATAATTTAAAAACACATAAATTTACTCCTCTTTGCACCTTGAAGTTCTTCAATATGATTTTCAAGATTGGTTAATTGAACTTCAGCTTTATGTCTGGCATCTCTTTCTTTTGTTAAAATACTATTAATTTCTTTTTTCTCTTCTTCTACTTCAATTCTATATTGTTCATATCGGTCAGCTTTAACTTTCAATGTTTCAATTTCATTTACAAGATCGTTCTTTTCCTTTTGTAATACTTCTAATTTTTGTCTTGATTCTTTTATTTCTGTCCCACTTTCCTTTAAACTTTCTATTAATTTAGATTTTTCTGCAACCATTTCCTCTAATTTGAAAACTTTTTCGTTTAATTCTTTAATTTCAATTTCATATTTAGTTATATCGGAATTTGATTTTCCTGCGCTCTCTAGTTCAATAATCTTTTCATGAAGTGATTTAATAAGATTATCTTGTGCTGTATTATCCTTCAGTGGAATCTTGAATTCGGATTCAGAAGTTTCTAATGTTTCATCAGTTTTTTGTTTATCACTTGATAATTTTTTGGCTTCTTCAAGAGCTTTTTCTAATTTCGATATCTGTACTTTGTATTCATTTGATAAAGCTTCGCCGTCTTCATATTTTGTAGTAATGTCCGTTAATTCCTTGGCCATAGAAGTAAGTTGTTCTTGTAAATTTTGTACTTGTCGTTCAAGATTAACTTTGACATTTAAATGTTCATTCTTTTCGATAAGTTGGGCGTTGGCCTTATCTAACATTTCTTTTAATTCAAGCGTCTTGTCTTCTTTTTCTTTTAGTTCAGACTCTAATTCATGAATCAAAGAATTTTGCGCTTCTTCGGCGGATTTCATCTCATTTAATTCCTTGGTTAAAATGTCAATATTTTCATTCATATTAGCAATGTCTGATGAATTAGTTTTATTAATTTCATCAATCTTCCTTTCCAATTCTTTAACGAGCTCAGTTTGTTTATCTGCAAGTTGTTGCGCTGATTCAAGATCTTCAGGTGATGGGCTTTGTTCTAATTTAGCTTCAATTTCCGCAATTTTGTCTCGAAGTGATTTTACATGTTCAGATTCAGAAGTTCTAGACAATTCAGCATCAGCTAATTTCTCATTAATCTTTTTAATTGTTGCTTCCAATTCTTTAATATGGGAGTCTTTGGTAGATATCAATTCCTCTTTCTCACTGAGATGAATGTTAGATTCTTTTAATGTAGAATCAAGGTTATTGATCATTCGAACATGTTCTTCATTTGAAGCTTTTGCTTCATCAAGTTGAGATTCTAAATCAGAAAGTTTTTCTCCCAATGATTTCATTTTATCCTGATAAGTTTGGGATGCAGTCTTCGTATCTTTGAGTTCATTCTCCAAGTTCGTTATTGTTAATTCAAAAGCTTCTACTTCTTCCTTTTGTTGATCCATCATTCTTGATTGATCGTTAACACGTTCAGAATATTGATCACGTTCTTTTTCGGTTGTTGTCAATTGATTTTCACGTTCTTCAATCATTCTTGATAGTTCATTAATACGTTCGGAATACTGATCACGTTCTTTTTCGGTTGTTGTCAATTGATTTTCACGTTCTTCAATCATTCTTGATAGTTCATTAATACGTTCGGAATATTGTTCACGTTCTTTTTCGGTTGTTGTCAATTGATTTTCTCTTGCTTCAATTATTCTTGATAGTTCATTGATACGTTCAGAATACTGATTAAGTTCATTTTCAGTTGTTGTCAATTGATTTTCTCTTTCTTCTATAATTCTTGACAATTCATTAATACGTTCGGAATATTGTTCACGTTCTTTTTCGGTTGTTGTCAATTGATTTCCAAGTTCTGTTAATAATTCATTTTGTGATTCCATTTCTGATTTAGTATCCGATAATTCCTTTCGTAGTTTAACAAGTGTTTCATTTATTTCATTTTCATTGGAGTTCGATATCTCAATATTAGATTGTAAAGAGGTTATTATAGATTCAGATTTACTTAATTCGGATTCAAGTTCAGCAATCATTTTTTTGTTTGCGACTTCTGATTCTTTCGAAATTGCTAATTCTGATTGTACATTTGTAAGCTCATTATCAATTTCTGAAATATTTTTTGTTAACTGAGCAATTGTTTCTTTGTTGGTAATTTCTGATTCTTTTGAAATTGCTAATTCTGATTTTACATTTATAAGTTCATTATCAATCTGTGCACCTTTCTCTGATAATTGAGCTTCTAATACAGCAATTCGTTCTCGTTGCGTTATTTCTGTATTGCGTAATTGCGCCAATTCTTGTTGAAGTTTCAACTCTTCAGCGTCTAGTACTTGTAATTGTTCAAGTGCTTGAGCTTCATTCTCTTTTACAACTTTCAATTCATTCTTAATATTATCCAAATCACTTTCTAATGACTTATTGATTTCCTTGACGCTACCTAATTGCGCTTGGAGCTCTTTCATTCTCCTCTGCACATCATCATCTTGTTTCCTAAGATCCATCAATTGTTTTGTAAGAATAGCTACCTCAGTTTCTTTATCTTTGAGGTGCTTTTGTAATAACCCTTTATTTTCCAATTCTTTTTCAATAATGTTATCTTTGTTTTTAATGTCCAAGTTGAGAGAAGAAAGTTTATTTTCAAGATTTTTAACGGTACTTTCCAATGCTATTACATTTTCGTCAACGTTTTGTTCAAGTTTATCAGCCGAAGATTCATCATTATTCGTAATACTATTGTCTTTTGATGATGTAGTTGATTTCTTCTCTTGATTATGCGATTCTTTAACTTCTCGAAGCTCATCTTCAAGTCGTTTAATGATATTTTCATAATCTTTGTTGTTAGCCACGTATTCACGTAATATCATTAATTCTTCATTTTTATCATCAGAAGTTTCTTCGGTCATTTGTTTACGAAGATCACGAATATTTGATTCTAACCTTTCAATTTCTTCTACATGTTTTTTATGTTCGGTTTCATGTACTTCGATATTCTGTAAAAGTTGTTTTTCTTTCTCCTTGAGTTTTTCAACTTCTTGAAGTAATTGAGAATTAGATGAGTTTGCTGGTTCTGAATTTGATATACCATCACGTTTTTTAAGTTCTTCTTGAAGATCATTAACCAATTGTAATGTTTCTTGATAATCTATTTCTAAATGGTTCAATTCACGTTTAACAGCATCTAAACTTTGTTGTTTGTCCTTATTAAAAGATTCGAATAATTTTAACTCAAATTGAAGTTTTTCAATAATTGCAGAATGATTTTCTGATTTGAGATCAGCTGATAAAGATTTTGCTTTTCGATGTACACCAAGCTTTGTTGAACCATTTATATTATTATTATTGTATTCATTATGTGGTGTGGCAGGTGTCATAGGAGTCATGGGTGTAATAGGCGTTGCCGTGAATTCTGAACTATTATCTAACCTTGATTGTAATTCTTGATATTTTAATTTTGCTTCATCAAGTTCTGTTTCAGTTTGTCGAAGTTTTGATTCAAGAGATTTGATGGTCAATTGATCTCTTTCCGACATATTATAAAAATTCATTGTACTTGAATTTTGTTTATTTTCCAATCTTCTTAATTTATCAACTTCATCACCAAGTTGAGTAAGTTTGCTATCAAGAAAACTAATTCGTTTATCTTTACTATCGATTTTATTCAAAAGTACATGTTTTTCTTGATCTACACCAGAACGTTTTAATTTTTCTTCTAATTCTTTATAAGCAGCCTCACGATCGCGTAATCGTTCTTCAAGTACTTTCACAGCTTCACTAACAAATTTTTCTGAATGATCTTCACGTGCAGTCACCACTTTTGTTTCAGTATCACGTTTTGATTCAAGTTCTTTAATATATTTCTGTAAGTTATTATTAAGACTCTTTGTTTGTTCTTGGTTTTTTTCCAACATAGCATTTCTTTCTTCAATTTCTTTCAATGCATTCTCGGCATGAGTTAATGCTGCAATTGTCATGGCTAAATTACTTTCAAGTGATGATATTGATTTTTCATATTCTTCAATTACAGGTCCTTTAAGATTATGTAATTCGTCGGGATTATTATCTTGATGCATAGCAAGCTCGGCAGAAGTTTTTGCATATTTTCGTGAAAGTTCAGCATATGATGCTCGAAGCTGCATCAATTCATCTTCCATAGCTTCCGTATCTTTACTATTATTTGCCAAATAATTTCCATGTGAGAAGGTTGTAAGTGGTGAAGATGGACGTGATGGACGTGATGTACGACGTGTTATTACAGAAGGTATACCGCCTGATGTTGGTGTAGTTCTTCCTGGAATACCTGAAGAAATTCCTGATTTTGTTGGGGTGTTCCTTCCAGGTATTCCCGATGTAGGCGTACTTCTTCCTGGAATACCAGATGGTCCAGGAATTCCTGATGTAGGCGTACTTCTTCCTGGAATTCCTGATGGTCCAGGAATTCCTGATGTAGGTGTACTCCTTCCATTTGGTATACCGGAAGTTGTGGGTGTACTCCTTCCCGTCGGTATCCCAGAAGCTGTGGGTGTGCTTCTTCCCGTCGGTATCCCAGGAGTTGGTGTTACTCTTCCCGTTGGTATTGAAGAATAATAACCTGCGGTTGGTGATTTGATTCTACTAATTCCTTCAACAGGTGTAGTTCTACCAGGGGATAACGTTCCATTATTAGAATTTGCATTAGATAATGCAACTTTTAAATTTGATATTTCACTACGAAGCTTTACTACAAGATTTTGTAAATGTATTATGTCATTCCAACCAGTTTCTTCTTGATTGATAGCAGCACTATTTTTAATATTACGAGCCCTATTTGCATATTTAAGAGTGTTGACAGTTTCGTTAAGATTAAATTCTGCGGGAGAAACACAAGCAATCATTAAAGTTTGTGCATTTCCTCCAAGAGAATCTTGTAATAAACGAGTAAGTTTAGAATCTCTATAAGGAATATGAGTTGTATGTTTTGCTTTATTTGGATCTCCTAAAGCTGAAATTACATTCCCTAACGCTAATAAACCTGAATTAATTGATATCCCCTCTTTTGCACGATCTCCACTTGCTGCAGTACGTTTTAGCTAAAAAAAAAAAAAAAAAAAAAAAAAAAAAAAAAAAAAAAATTTTAGAGATGTATTAAATGAAAGATGTAATAGGTTAAATTTAATTTGAACAATATAACTTACCCTTTCACTACCAGCCAAATCTACAAAATGAAATTTACTAGTTATGGTGATCCAATCACTTTCATCATCAAATCTTGAATCTAATCTTGAATTAGCTCTTGAACCCATTAATTTTGAAGATGGAGTTGTTGGTCTTGAACCAGGATTTGAATAATTATTATAACCATTATGATTTACTAATTTTTGTTGTGACATTGTAAGAGAGAAAATGGCATGTGATCTAGAAGATTTCGCATTCATATCAGTAGCACCAACTTGTCTATTTAATGAACCTCTTGCCAAATAACTACAAATATACAATGATTTTAGAAATTATAATTAAATGTAATCAAATAAATAATTTTATACATACGCTATAACATCATCAACACTATTAACTTGAAGTTCTTGTAAACCACTCCAATAAATATGACCTTTTGAATCTTCACGTATCATGACTTGAGGTCTAGATTCTCCCTCACCTTCACCAAGTAAATCAATTAAGTCTTCATTATAAATTTCTATAAATGAAACTTTTATTGAAAATTTTCGATTCATATATAATGAAGAAGTATTCATTGTATGAAATAAAGTTGCTATAGCACGAGGAATTATTCCTTTATTATGATATGGTATAGATGAATTATCGGCTGTACCCATTGTATGGGTCTTTCCTGAAGATGTTTGACCGTACGCTAATATTGTCACATTGTAACCTAATGGAGGAAAAAAAAAAAAATAAATAAATCTAAAACTTAAAATGCAAATAGGCTGCGCCACACAATATGAAACAATGAACCATTTTTATACCTTCTAAAAATTTATCCACTAAATTTTCAACAGATTTTTCATAAATTTCTTCTTGAGTGGTTTCAGGAGGAAATACATGATCAAAATGATAAAATTGTCTTTTCTCTCCTTCAACAACAATTTGATGTGGAGATGGAGTAGTAATTACTTGACGTTGAAATCTTGTAGGTAATTTTTCTAAATCTTCGTCGGTAATCGGTTTTATTCGGACAGCTAATGTATAATTTAAAGAAGGTTTTTTGTTAGGGTTATTATGTAATATTGACATGTGACCGTTTATTTGTTTGTTAAATTAATCTTAAATGAGACTCGAAAATGGAAATGAATAAGGATAAAATGAAAAGACTTTTAGAAATTTCAATTTTTTTTTTTTGCTTACCAACTTGCACCGAAGTTGCACCTTCAGATGTCATTATTTTAAAGAAATTATATAAATAAAATTTTTAATAATAAAATTATTGTCTATCGAATAGTTTTTTTCAAAAAAAAAAAAAATAAAAAAAAAATAAAGGGTAAAAAAAGTATTTTTTTCTTTTTTCTTCTCCAGCCCGCTGGTTTATTAATATATAAAAAGGATCTGATGGATAAATAAGTACAAGAAAAGGATTTTTTATACAAAATAATAAAAGTAAACTATATACTGTATATAGAAATAGTTAGATAGATAGATATATATATATATATAAAATTAAATATATGAATTAATTAAAAAAAAATATTTCTCCACAAACTTTTAAAGGTCGAATGAAAAATAAAAAAAAAAAAATCGACTATAAAGTAAGAGAGAAGAGTGAGAG